CCCCCGGTTGTTACGCCACTGAGTGGTGGCAGTGGCAGATGGAGGGCAGATCGGAGAGTTTGCAGGCTTGGTGGTGGGTGGTGGAGGAGAGTGTAGCACGTGCAGGCTTAGTGGTGGGAAGTGAAAGAGAGGGAAAAGGGTGCTCAGACTTAGTGAGTGTTGGGCAGTGGAGGAGAGAGTAGAGTGTGCAGGCATAGTTGCAGCAAGGGGGAAGATCTGAGGGTGTGCAGGCTTGGTGGTGGATATTGGGGGAGAGCTTATGGTGTGCAGGCTCGGTGGCAGGCAGTGTAGGAGAAGGTGAATGGAGCGCAGGCTCTGGGGCAGGGAGTGTAGGAGAGGGTGAATGGTGTGCAGGCTCGGGGGCAGGCAGTGTAGGAGAGGGTGAATGGTGGGCAGGCTCGGGGGCAGGCAGTGTAGGAGAGGGTGAAGGGTGTGCAGGCCTAAAGAGTGGTGGGCAGTGGAGGAGATTGGAGAGTGGGCAGGCTTAGTGAGTGGTGGGCAGTGGAGGAGCGAATAGCAGAAAAGACGTAAGGCGGTAGTGCATGCTTCCTGAAAGTGAAATAGTGGTATGTGTGGAAGAAGCCTCCATGTGCAGGGACTGGACATTGTCTGTGCTCTTCTATATACTATAAAGGATTACTTTTACATTCTGCAAGCTTTCTGTTATTTTTGTTGTTAGAAGGCAACCTGTTGTGGGTGAGCCACTACAAGGGTTGCCATTGCTTACCACCTTGGAATACTAGATGCATGCGTCATAATGTACTCCTCTGGTGTAAATACAGTGTCACTGACTCAGACTTGCATTGTTGAAAGGAGCAGTAAAGCACAATCACTGTGTAGCCCTGCAAAGCAATAAGCCCAGCCTTTTAGACTTTAGCGTATAGGTTTTTTTGGTTACTGTAGCCTTAGAATTCTCAACATTTTGTATGTATTATCTCTCTACAGGGGAGATGGAGAAGTATCTATCATTGATGGCTGAGCTCCTGCCAGACTGGTTTTCCATTCATCTCATCAGGAAGGACATTTACTACAAGCTGAACAAGGTCTCCGTGACTTTATGGTTTAATCACTAAATTGTTCAGATTGGGACTTAAATAGACAAGTTTGCAATCATAGGAGTGAAACTAATATGGCGGTTCCATGTGGAAGACTTTGGAGTCTTCTGTGTGTTCCTTCTGCAAACGCAACAGCAAAAAGTTTCCCAGCACACTCACCAGTCAGCATGCAAAAAAACGTGTCTCACCGCTGAGGTTAAAGGAGAACTATAGGGTTAGGGCTTTTCCCCATAGTTCTCCTTAGGGTAACGGGAGGACACAAACTAGCGTCCTCCCGTCACCCTAAGCTCAGTATATAGGGAGCTGCAGCTCGTGGTATACTGAGACGCCGCAGCTGAAGCGGATCCCAACAATTGTGTCTGGATCCGCCCAGCTGAGTGAGTGACAGCTGGATCTGCCTATGTAGAGGCAGAGCCAGCTGTACCCTCCCCCGTCCGTTCCGCCAGTCAGCACTGGAGGATCGGAGCGGGGAGGGGCCAATCCAGCCCCTCCCCTGTCACGGCAGAGAGCCGTGACAGGATCGAGAAGCGAGCGAACGCCGGTATGTGTTTGCTCACTTCCCCATCTACTGAGCCGACCTGTGACAGTCTCATTTTCACAGGTCGGCTAGAACTATGAGGTGAGTGAAAAGCACTCACCTCATAGTTCTCCTTTAAAAACACAGGTTTTAGATACACATCTTCTGCAGAATATGTGAAAGCCGCACAGCCGCGCCAAGGCACCTCTGTGTTGTGCGGTCCTAACTCTAACTTATGAGAGTCTCCATCTTGGAGCACATGTGGCAAAAGATAAAATTGGGTGCAGGTTCGCCAGGAGGTAGCCCAACCCTCTCAAAGGCGCAGGGACACACAAGGGACCCCGCACATCACAACGGCAGCTGAGACCCCCAATGTGTCACTGCACCAAATCAGTCCAGCAAAACAAATGGCAAACACACTCATCAACTTATCACCCGCTTTACAGCAAGATACACATGGAAGGCCTTTCTTTCTGCAAACCTCGCATCATTCATTGTTCCTAGATTCTGGCTGCAACAAATAACATAGCATTTGGTGTGGATTTTGTTACACAGGTGTTTCTGTGCTGTCATTTTGTATTAGTTTTGTTTTTGTTTTTTTTAAGTTTTCCATTGACTTAAATCAGGGATGTCCAAACTGCGGCCCTCCAGCTGTGGTGGAACTACAAATCCCATGAGGCTTTGCAAGATTCTCACAGACACGACTCCCGGAGAGAGATGCTTCATGAGAGATGCCTCAGCGGGGCGGGCTTGCGATCATCGCAAGTACGACCTGCCTGTCCAAGATAGGCAGATCGTACGTTTTTTTAATTACCTTACAACCATCGCAAGACAAAAGTCTTGTGATGGTTGTAAGGTGTGTGCCCAGCTTAAGAGCGGTCGGATCAGTTTTGTAGGGTTTGGCCCCCACAGAGACTGCCATACCTTCTTTCACAGCTTTGTGCCAAAAATCTGACTTTCTCGGCTGTTAAGCTGAGGCAGGAGACTGGGCGGCCTGATGCTTGGGCTCTATAAAAAAGAGGAATACAACAAAACTGGACATAAATCTCTAAATGAGAGGTAGGGATTCACTGTTCATTAGTATAACTGTACAGCGTTATAAACCTTCCAGCGAAGTGCATGGAAGGTTTTTAGCGCTGTACAGTTATACTAATGATTAATTGAGGCTTGACAGCCTTTGTGTAGCAGCTTTTAACCTGTTGATGCTATTTATCTGCTTCCATTAGCACAGATTATTTACTATTATATAGGGCTTCACTGTTACTAGTAAATAGTGGAGATTCAAGTTTCAAATATCTGTTTGTGTCTGGCCTTTTGAAATGCCTTTTTAATGCATAACTGTGTGAATAGCCCAAAGTAAGCCTGTCAGAGATTTGGGAGGGGTAGGGTGGAGCATTGGTATCATTGACCTATTTTTGTAAAATGCTAGTTAACAGCTATTCTGAACCACTGGTTTTGAGTCATCCACCAAGAGTAAGTATGCTGAGAGGAAACGTCACAACAAATTCAGACATCGTTTTGTGTGTGACTTTAAGCCAGAGACTGAACCTTTCATAGCAAGGAGGTTAGTGTGACAGCCAGGCAGCTAGCAATTTTTAGAGAGGTCAACAATATCAGCTTCTGTTTGTCTCAGGAAAGTCTATTTTTTAAAGCGTGTCTGTAGACTCAGTGTGCAATCACATCTGTCTTTATTTGCTGAATATTTGCAGGAACTGATTTTTTTTCTCTTTTGTATGGATAAAAAGCAAATGTTTAATTTTCCAATTTTGGAATAAACGAATTTGAATTACATTTGACTTTTGTACTGTCTTGTAATTGTGACTGTTGCACCGCACAAGGCATAAACTAGACAAATTGGTTTGGTTATGTCACACGCTACTAAAATCTTCTGACATGGGTTACTCCTTGTGTGAGCTGTTACTTAAGATTTTCAGTAGTGCAACTGAGAGATCGACAATCCATCTCCCACAATTCTACAATTTGATTGCATAGCAGAAACGATTTGCAATTTCCCCCATTCTCCCCTGTAGACTTGAATATGAACAGGGCATTTTTTGGAGATTCTTTACATGACAAGCCCCCTTTCATATCAGAAGGTCCCACTTCACATCAGAGTACTGCCGCAGCATGGCAGGAAGCAGTAGGTGGAGCCAGGGCTGGATTTACTCTCTCTGCTGCCCCAAGGCCAGGTTCTTCAATACGCCCCCCTACTCGCCAACCAAAATGGAGAATGGCAGACCCGCAGGCTGCATACAAGTGACCTCAGCAACATCACCAAGATCACGTGTGCAAAACAAGTGGCGGCTTCCCCCGCTGTACCTTTAGCTTTGCTTGCCCAAAGCCAGGCTAAATGTAGAAAACAACTACCCACCCGGCGCCCGGAACTGCATCGGGAGATAGGAAGTACACACCCCTGCTGCCCCTCTACTCCCCGCTGCCCCAAGGCCGGGCCTTGGTTGGCCTTGTGAGAAATCCGGCCCTGGGTGGAGAAGCCCAGGAGAACCTTTGTCCCTTTCTGAATGGATGCAACCCTCCCAGGATTAGCGTAATTTTTTTCCATGTTGATGATGGCCCACCTACACCATGGAAAGGCATGATGCTGTGTGAAAATGTTGAGGCACCCCTGAAGAAGCCAGAAGGCATTCCAGGCATATTTGCCAACATTTTGAAAACAAATTCCAGGGGCACCATTTTTTGTTGTGCATCCAGCAAGCCAGTGTAGGAGGGTAGGCATTCATTTAGAATGGGTGTTGTTCTACAAGAGGCATATCCTTAACCATTTATACAATATCTGTGAGAAATTTGTGCAAAGGGGGGCGGGCTGAAACTCACAGCATAGCAGAGATACAATTGGAGCACGTATCTCTGTGAAGATTCACCGCCATTTCTAGGATTGTGGAAAAGCTGGAGCACCCTGAGACACATAGAGGAAAATAACATTGCAAACTGTGGGCCAAATCATGAACATATTATCCCATATTGCCTGTACCCACAATATATGCTTTTATTACTGTGAGAAATAACACTTTGTCTGATCCTACCTCAAAGAAGACCACCATTAAAATAATTGGGGACTACTTGAGGTCAGGAGTGTATAACATACAGCAAAGCATACTGAGTGCTGCAGTCAGGACCGGATTTACTCTCTCTGCTGCCCCGAGGCCAGGTTCCTCAATGCACCCCTCTACTTGCCAACCCCCCCCCCCTTCATGGAGAATGGCAGACCTGCACACTGCATACAATTTCGCCGAGATCACTTGTACAAAACATGCGGCAGCTTCCCCGCTGTACATTCATTTAGCTCTGCTTGCCCACAGCAGGGCTAAATGTAGAAAACAACTACCCGCCCGGGCATCGGGAGAGAGGAATTCCACACCCCTGCTGCCCCTCTACTCCTTGCTGCCCCGAGGCCGGGCCTTGGTTGGCCATGTGGGAAATCCGTCCCTGACTGCAGTCTGAAATATGTAGCTTATAGACTGTAGCAGGACTTTGTAGTCAGTGTGCCCCCTCTATTGTGCATACAACATAACACATAGACCAAAGCAGTCAGGACAAAGTGACATACAATATAGTATATTGGATGCAGATATCAGGACCATGTAATGTACAAACATGTATAAAGGGCAGAGGTCTGGACTATTCAATGTACAACATAGCACAGTGGTCAGAGTGTGGGGGTCAGGACCATGTAATTGCACAGCACAGTGTGCAGAGTCAGTTGGGCAGGAATAAGTGCCCCCTTATGTGGGTGGTCAGTGTGCCAGGCTAGCACCCTATGGCAGCCATGCCCCCCTCCCTCATTCATTGCCCGCATCCCCCCCTTGGTAGAAGCCAAAATCAACTGACCTTTTCCTATAGGGAAAGCTTAGGAATAGGGAATTTATAGCACAACATAAAGAATGCTATATAGTTACATAGTATTTGAGGCTGAATAAAGACACATGTCCATCAAGTCCAACCTATTGTGTGTGTGTGTGTGTGTGTGTATGGGTCCCTGTGTCATCTCGTTATTAGGAGTACCTGTACCCCTGTATATTACCGTTTCTCAGGAAATCGTCCAGGAAATGCTGTCTAGTAAACTATTATATTTTAGAATTATTGGCAAAATCTATTGGAGATGGTACAATCAGATGTGTGGCTAGTTTTGTCATCTAAATATGTTGCAATTTATGCAATCCATGTTTCACACAAACTCGTTCAAATGTTATTAATGCATTAGATCTTATGTGAGCTCACACACCTTTGGATTTCTGTAGAAAATCATGTGAAAAATGCACTTGTTGGGAATCAGAGCTAAGAGGACGTAAGTGGGAATATTTTATAGAATAGAGAGCTAGCTAATAGTGAGCTTTGAGAACAAATAGTTATTGCACTGACTGTGATAAATGGTGATGACAGAAAACAAGTCAGCGTCGCCTGCATGGGACTCCTCGGGGCAATGAAATGAACTATGCAGTGGCTAAAATATAACGGCACACTGGTTGCAGATTGATGCGGTACACACACTTTATTGTTAGCACATGTATGTTTGCAGTTATTACTTCCAGCTTTTACATTATTACACTGAGAAATATAGTATTTATTCATATAACGTTTAAAGCTGAACTCCAGGCAAACAGCTAACCACAAAAATTGAATACATATATTATAACTGTTTTACCTGCCAAAAGGAATATGCATTTCTTTCCAACCAGTCCTGAGACTGCCACACAGCTCTGCCACCCTGCACAGTCCTGTTTAGCAGAGGCAGGGATCTGATCTTTCTCCACTGCAATGTTACTTTCACTTACAGGTCTCATCCTTACCCCCACCCTGTGACTGGACAGTGAAAGGAGAATCAGCAGACTGATGAGCACATCTTTCCATCACTCTGCTCAATCCTTCTATTAGCATGCTTCGTGTACTGCAGCGCACCCGATTGTCTCCTTGTGCTGCTTCTCCTCCCCCTCTCTAGCTCTACAAGAGACTGATATACAGTTATATAACATCATGGGGCTGGTTTATAGAAGATAGTGTTAGACCTGTGTGGTCCTTTCAACCAGAATCTTCATGTGTTATGGAAACATTTCCTTCAGCCAGTTCTCAAAAGTATGACAGCTAGATGTGTCATTATAATGGTATTTGGTGGGGACTTGTGAAAAGGATTTACTGCTGCTGACATTCAGAAAACATTCGACAAAAGGAAAACCTAAGTTTACCACTGAATGCACAGAGAAAACAAGCACACAGATATCTTCCTACACCTTTGTTCTGAATGAAAAATGTCTCTGATAATAACAAAGGTCGCTAAGTATATTACTTTATGTGTAGCTCCGCCTTCATTGTAGCAAAGTTAATACTGTAAGCTAGAGAGTCAACAAGTGCTGTAGATAGCATTCAGGACTTCATATAATCTGTTATGCTGCTATAGTTTTTATAGTATCCTGGTCATGCATATTACAATCTGATTACGCAATCTCTATACAATGTCCTTATGATTTACTAAGGGTCACCACATACGTGTTGGTAGATCTTAATCTGGCCACACACTATATGAAGATCGAAGGAGCCGCTTGGAAAAAACAAACAGAGCTGGCAGCCAATGAGCTTCGGGTACTCTGACAGCTTATGAGGATTGATGGAGGAATCTGTAATATTTTCTTTGTTCAGCCCGTGGGTTGAAGGAAGAAAATATCACAGTACAACCTGACCATACATTCTCTGTATTATCAATTTTTTATAAGGAACTGTCTGATTGGATACAAATTGATTGGATAGTTTGGCAAGGTCTTTATATTACATAGATTTGGTACAGCTAAAGTTGATTGTACAAAGATTTTATGGACAGATTGTAATGTGTATGGTGACCCTAATGTTTATGGCCAGATTAAGGTTGCCAGATAATGGTGTCAAAGGGGGCAGGGAGCTAGGCTCCAGGACCTGCACAGGGATATGGCAGCTTTTTTTCTGTAATGATCTTACTGCCCTGACATGAAACATTCAGTTTGCCAAGTTACACTTTGATATGCACATTTATGTTCGGTTTTAATTTTTGTTGGTGCTTGTTGTCTCCCCTCCATTCACCTCCTTCTTGTACCTCAAACCAAGAAAACTGCAGATTTTCATGAGCATGAGATCCACAATTTCTTCCTCTTCGGATGCCTATAACAATTCAAAGAATGTGATTGATGTTAGTCAGTGGTAATGTGACATTCGGAAGCAATGTTTCATCTTTATATCACAACATAACTTTGTGACGGCCCAGTTGTAGATGATCTACAAAATTAAAGTAGAACTATGGCCTCCCAAAATAAAAACAAATGTGCTGCAGCACCGACTGTAATTGTAAGTGCATCTGCCCCTACCATTTCCCATTAGCCCCCGGCAAAGTGTCACAAATCCTGCTAGTAAGTTCACTGCATGCAGCTTTCTGTGATGGGGGACAACACTGCTGCATTGCCACTGAATTCAAAGCTGTATTGTCCCTCATGTAGGCTGTGGGATCATAAACAATTATTTTATAGACAAATTGTAGTTATATACAAATATACCTTGGTTTACAAGTAACTTGGTTTGCAAGTGTTGCAAGACGAGCAAACATTTCTGAAAAATTTTGCCTTTATATACGAGCGATGTCTTGCAATACAAGCAAAATTTTGTAGAAAAGCACCACCCGATTAAGGCTGTAGCAATGTGAGCGATGAATCTGTTTAACGACAATGCAATGTCACATTTCCGCAAAATCCTCAAAAGGAGGCAACAGCAAGTGTCATTGGATAGATTCCTTGTTAAGGTTTCACGGAATGAAAAAGATTCCATTCAGCCAAGAGATAGCAGTGATTTTGTTAGTGATAGTGAAAGTTGTCCTACACAATAATCCTCCTCTCTCTTGTCCCCCTCACACCAGCCAACGAATCATCTCAATTTCCATTATTACCTATGGGGAAATTTGCTTTGATATGCAAGCACTTTGGATTACAAGCATGCTTCCGGAACGAATTATGCTCATAAACCAAGGTATTACTGTAATGCCCATTAAAGTTAATTTTTTTCTTTAACCTCTTGCCGTCCGCCCGTAGTAAAAAAACGGACGGACGGCACTGCAATATTGGACCATTCATTTCAACAACAATCTTCCCATATGACTACATGTGCATTTGACATATTTTATGCATGTTATTTACCTCTAAAATCCTCCCTTGTGTAGAAATCAAAAAGCCCTGAGACTGATGCTGCACCACCATCTTGGAAGTGACATATGCAGCCCCAGCAGACTCAGAGCTGTCACTCACGTAATACTCTTTAGCAGGGGTAGGCAATCTTGGCACTCAAGCTGTTGTGCAACTGCAATTCCCATAAAGCATTGCAAGACTCTGACAGCCACCACACCAATCGGTCCCCTGGTCCCAGGCATGAGGAAAGGTGTTTGCTTGTAAAAAAGCAGATGGGGTAGAGAAATGCTTACATTATTCACTTTCCCTGCCCAGTTCTGCATTAGATGATTCCATGTGACAACAGCCATAGCCTGTGCTGTCTGTCCGTCACTGAGGGTCTACGCTGACGGAACATCTAAAAAGGGTCACAGCTTAGCTAAAGGGGCAAACACCACCACTGTTCCTGAATGATGTGGTCCCCCCCCCCCCCC